ATATATATGTGTGTGTGTGAGACACACACACATATAGTCTCTCTCTCTCTCTCTCTCTCTCTCCCTCCCTCTCTTTCTCTCTCTTCAGGCCTCAATTGTGTGGAGTTTGTTCTCCCCATTCCTGCGTGGGTTACTCCGGTTTCCTCCCCGATTCCAAAAACATGCACGGTTGGGTAATGGAACACTCTAAATTATCCCTAGGTGTGATGGTTGCTAGTCTATGTGGGCCCTGGCTGGCACCCGGTTCAGGGTGTACCCCGCCTATTACTCTCCGCCATCCCACCTGAACCTCCTGCCAGCCCAGATAAAAGTGTTGAGAACCGCCACTGAGTATTGGCCATTGCTCCATCCAGTGTGTTGGTTCATCCTTGCTGGACCTGAGCCTAGTTTGTGTGGAGCTGAGCATAAGCAAACATTGACACAACAAGGGGAGATTCACACAGGTAGATGAAATGTTATTGTGGTGAGAGCATAAAAAAGGAGAGTGAAAGGACGATGGAAGATGAGGATACTAAAACTGAGATCGAGGCATGTCTTTCTTCCAAAATCATGTAATACATCGTAAGCAATATGTAAGGGACAGAATGTGACTTTGTGGGTCTTTATGTAACACAATGGGAATCCAGTCTTGCAGTCTCCTCGTTAATCCGTGAGTGGCTGAAGTGGATGTGGAGGACTTTCTCGTGTTGAGTCCCTCAATGACAGGGAATAAAAGCACAGGAAGCAGAGATGATGACGACAGGAAATGCACACAGACAGGCAGACAGGGGGGCACGCAAAGTGTGTTTAGAGGAGCCAGACCCCTGTGTGGCAATAACAAAGTCACGGGTCAGTGACACAACCAATGAGAGGTCAAACGGGAAGTCTGCGACAAATAGGCAAAGCGCTGATGCTCATTAACACACGTCTTGAGCGACTGAGTAAATCATTTTGTCTGACCAAAGATTGGAGTTGGATCAGTCATGTCATGAAGGTCATCAAGTAAAATGATGCTTCTGTTGAATGTTGATTTAACATCACTGGAATTTTGTAATATTGTGTATTGCGACAAACCTCAATCATTTCAATCAATTAATCAGGCGCTGGACATGAGACATCATTTCGTACAATTCAATAGTTCTACCTTGATAGCAGGAGTGATGTGGAAGAACTAATTGATTGATCCACAGAGACTGCCCGACCCTCAGAATCAAAAGAATCAAAATCTAACAAGGCCCTTCGTAAAGAGTGCAAGCCCTTACCGACGTCAAATCTTGACTTAATTTAGGTGCCTTGTTCGCATCCTAATGTTACACATTTCAGAAGTACTTTTCAGAAGGAACGATGACTTGATTATGGTGGATATAAAAAGTCTACTCAGCCCTGTCCCAGTCCAGGATTTTCTGACCGCAACAAAATCTGTCACCTGTGGAAAAATGCATTATGGTCTGATGAAACCAAGGTTGAACCTTTTGGCCATCACAAAAACATCACCCAAAAAAAAAAAGAACCACTGCATCCACAATGAACTGCGGTGGTCCCAGTATAATGCTTTGGGACTTTTTATTTCAGATGGAACTGGTGCCTTTGTCAAGGTGGAGGGAATGACCGTTTGAACAGTATGAGGGTTCTGCGACAAAGCCCCCCAAATGTCACAAAAAGCCAACTACAACATCTGAACTTTGTTTGGGGTTCCTTAGGGGCAATTTAAATAGAGGTGTGTGCTGACTGCTGTTTAACATTTTATAATGTGATTAATTCAGAACTCAGCGAAATCCCGGATTTGAGAGGGTGTGCATACTTGTGCAAGTACATTCTTCCAGTTGTTTCTTCTCACTTCCCCTGAAAAGAGAAAAAAGAGTTGTTTATGTTCGAGGACATGTTAATGTTATTTAATTTTGGACTCATTTTTCTGTATCAAAAAAACATGGCACCTCAACAAGGACTTGCAGATTATTTTGTGTAAGAACATCCTCGTACACTTCTCAGACAGTATTTGTGTTGTGATATGTACACATGCTGAGGAGGCAGTAACGAGTGGGAGTGCAACTGCGTGTGGTGGGGTGGGGGGTAGGCACGGATGTCCCCGCATTGGCTGCCATTTAGCGCGACAGCGTGAGGATGACTGTCCGGTTACCAAAGCATGACATCAGCCAGTTGGCAGAGGAGGTGTCGGAGCAGGTGCTGTATGGGAACGAGGGCTGGACGGAGAGGGTGTAACCGGGGAAGGACAGGCTGAGGGGGGTGGGGGTCGGGTTGGGGCGGGGGGGGTCATCCAAGTGTGGGACAGCAGAGTGGGCAGTGCAAGAGCAGAGGGCACGAGCCAAGATGAGAGTTCTATTTATAGCACCCCATCACGGGCCACTCTACCAAGTCCTGATCACGACCGGCATTATCCCTCTATTTCCCTTCATCAGCTCACGCCCGGAGGGAGGGAGGTGCACATTTGAAGAACGGAAATGCAGTCTATTCTTAGACAGTGACATTTCAGGTTTCATCTCTTTGTGCCAAAATTTTAAAACACAATAACAACTCTTGAGATGCACTCGCAGTTTAATCCTTGCGTTATTGTTTTGCACTCCAGTTTGTATGGTTTTATAAATGAGACTCCTGACCTCAACCTGTCCTGAGGTAGACCAACCCGAAGAGGTCCTTCACTGTTCATTGCGAGAGGGGTTGTCATGGAAATAGAGAGAAACCCCTTCGGCTCAATGGAGACGTGCAACTATCCTGAAAAACATACACCCCCCAAAACTACGACAAACTGTGGCCTTCACGTGGCATCATACATGTCAACGTTGTCACTGAAGAGTATCTCACGTGACTTCAATTCTGCTTGTGTTCTGTTTTTGAAGTTATTTTGAAGCCCAAATGGGGAATTTGTTGTTTTGCGATAAACAGTAGTAGGCCAGGTTTAACTCTTTCATAAGACAATATTGTAAGGCCAACCTTTTTGGAGTCAAGCTGTGCTTTTTACGTTGGCTTTTTTAAATCGGCACACCACCAAACAAAAAGTACAAACACTGAAGATCTCGTCTAAATTTACTCACCCCTTACAAAATGTGTTGATCAGCGTAAACGTTCTACCTGACGCTGTACATTGGTGGCATGATAGCTGAACAAAGATATATTTGGGATTTGAAAAGAAACTTTATTGGACCAATTAAGTGATATTGGCTCATTTCCTGCAGAGCCCCGATGAGCTCTCACCACACACACTGCTGTCAAAGCCCCCTCATTGGGAATCTCTGCCTTAAGAACATGATCAGATCTAGTTTTAATAACTGCCCGCATCTGCGTTGCAAGTTGAAAATATGCCGATCAAGCGCACAATTGTGTCACTCATAAATTGCTATCATCATCTGTTTTTATAAACCACTTGTAGGTATCATGGCTTGATTCGGGCCCTGCACCGCAGCAGGCATCGCGTTGACTTGCAATGCGTCTCAGGTCCACGTGTTACAATATAATGCTGGCTTTGTCTGCAGCTCAGCCTGCTGAATTCTATTTCAACAGCTCCTGTCCAACTATCGGAACCGAAGGACACAATCTTGCTCTCTGTGTGAAGGCCTGTTGTCACCCACTTTGCACAGACAAAATAATCATCTGAGCTGAGCCAGATAAGAAAATCTTCACCCGTGCGCATAGCTCCAATCCCTTTTTCACAAAATTGTACAAATACGTTGTTCCAAAGCACGCAGGGCAAACAAATTGAGTAAACCAAAATATCGAGCGATCATGCTCCATTTCAAGCAAACATTTCACAGCTTTTTTTTTTTAAGCATGTTGTCTTATAAATGTTCAAATAAAGAATGCGAGTGATCACATAACCAGACACTGCTTTGTATGCTGAGGCACTAGTCAGGAAATGTCCTTGGATTTTTTTGTTTGTTCGTATTTTTTTCACGGCGAATCCCAGAGTCCACCCACAACAAGATCGCCCTGTGGAGACCTTCTGCTCAGCAGCCCGGGACAGACGTGAATGCACACACACACACACACACACACACACACACACACACACACACACACACACACACACACACACACACACACACACACACACACACACACACACACACACACACACACACAAACAGTCACAATGTGGAAAAACACAGAAAGACATTCTGAATGCAGCCTCTCACTTCCTTTAATTTTGATACATACTCCAATTTGGTTGACTACATAATGCGCAGATGGTGAAGTCTGTTAAGTATTGCCACTTTAAAATCTCATGAAGTATCATGAATGATTCCAAAAAAATGAAAACTAGATTAAAGTAGTTTGTCACGTTCTGTAAGTGTTAACATCTGCAGGTTTTATGGCTTTTCTAACTTGGACTTGATGTTTCCTTCGATATACACTCAGTAAAATGAGTTGTGTGTGTGGGTGCGCAGGGGTGGGGGTGGTGGGGGGTGGGTTCATTTGATTCAATTGTGTGCACTGACACCAACAGAAACAGTTGGGCCTGCATGTTTTATGGAGCCAGCAGACAGAGGAGTGCATATGGACGCCTCACATTACGGCACATCGCACTATAATGTGGTGCGGTAATGGCCATGAAACCACATGTCACTGTGGATGGAAGAGAGACTCCAGAGAAGAGGCAAGGCCCAGAGCCAACCGAATACCGCACTTCACCTTCAGCCGCTCTTCATCTTTGTTCTGTTCTGTCACTTGGCGTCATCTCACATTTAACTCTCAGATTCACATTGAAATCGTTTGATTTTTTTTTTTTCTTTTCTGTTGCTTTTTTGCCAGCGCTCTCTATTTGGAGAGTCGATACCTCGAAAGAATGTCCTGTCCAGGCCAAGCCAATACTGTGGTTATTCTTTGAAAGAGTCTATTTTGTGCCACACCATATAATCAAATGATGTTCAAACCATCCTGGAGGCAGAACTTCTGTTTTTGTTCTTGATGTTATTATGCAACAAATCATCTTTGCTGTAGGACTCTTAAAACGCGCTTTAATCTTTGTCATTAGTCCCTTCGCATGAATCAGCCTGTGAACAGCTTGGCTCACTTTCACTCACCATATTGGCAGGATGCTCCTGCTTTCAAGGTATAATGGGGAACATTTCCACGTTAGGATGTCGAAAAGGACAACATTGCATCTTTTAAACATTATTCCAGATCTACCTATCTTAATACAGTACTTTCTCTGACCGCTAAAGAGATTCATAAAATAATACATGTCCAGTCTCACCCATATCGCAGAGCACTTTGAAATTTTTACCGAAACAATTGGTTAAGTTCACTATATTTCAATGATGGTTATCATGTCATGATAATTGGTTTAAGCTGTCTGTTTTGAGCATCCACTGATGACTCAATATGGTTTTTAACCTCATGAAGTACGAACCCTAATGGAAGAGCAGAGTCCTGACAGTTTTTTTTTTCTGTTTATGTCTTTCCCATAATGCGCTTTCTTTTTTACTGTTATGAAGAAGTGTATTTCAGTGGGCCTCCACCCTTTGCTCTGTCAATCAGTTTTACCAACAAAGGCAAAACCGAAGTTTAACAAATCTTGTTCAGCTGACATTGGCAATGGACTGCCATTAAAATGGTGTCTTTATTTTGACCTTGTCTTTAAATGTGAATTCACCATTTTTTTTTTTTTTCAAAAATGGGACTTCAAGCATGGCTGTTTCAGCGTGGGAGACACATACAATTAAGCCAAGGTGCCATCAAAATAGTAATAAATTAAACAATATGTTTGTCATTGTTAATCAAATTATATGAGAATGACTCATACAATAAGTATACAGTACAGTTATTTGTTATAGTGGAGGGTTTCCCCGAACAGCAACTGAGCATGCAAGCATGGATATCATCCTGCGGTGGTTTGGCAAAGTCCCGAGGGACTACTGAGAGTGAACTTTGGATGTATGAATGCATTCACTTCGCATTCACTTTCCTTACACATACTACATACGAATCCATGCAGAGTGATTCTCTCCCTGCATGTGGTACACCTTTCTGGAGCCTTCAGTACTGCAGATGGTGAAAAAAAAAGATACAATTTTTCTGGCAAAAGTTACGGTTGGCCCACGACAGCTTTGTGGTCATTCAATCTGGTAGGTGTATGCTTTTGGAACCAAATTCACACTTACATCGTGCCTTCCTGTATCTCAAGACAGCCATTGATTCTACTGACCAGCCGTCCTTCAAGAGGCATAAATATGTGGTCAAGTCTGTGAGACATGGAAAGACGTACGCACGCAGATGTGTGCAGTGAAGAAAGGGATATGATACACGCAATTGCATACACATGTGCTCTCACACACTACTTATCTAAAGATCATCTGCAGAGTGAGATATGTTATTAAAGAAGCCTTCCTAGACATGATGTCACCAAGCACACGATGGGTGTCTTTAAACAGGACATACATTGTCTAGGGCAGGGATGGGCAACGCACTCTGAGTGGCCCCTTGATTGATTTCTCTCCCCTCAACCCCCCCCCCCCCCCAACAAAAAATTGTGTCGCGGGGCAGGGGAGTATGCATACCCCTGCATACTCACAGCTTGGCACCCACCAATTCACTTATCCATCCATCCATCCATGTACTCTCTGTGTCTACAGGGGGTTTCTCCCACATTCTAAAAGCATGCATGCTAGGGTGTTTGAATGCACTAAATTGTCCCCTAAATTGTCTTTTTGTCGTATATCTGGTGAAGAAGTACATCTTTTGTGGGCCCCCAGTATCGTAGATAACATCAATAAGTCGCCCATCGCTGATCGAGAGAGTGCTTTCTTTTATAAATCTGTATGCTAGACTTTGGTTTGAGCATCGGCTGACGCCAGGGGACAGTGAGCCTCATTTAGAACAAAGATCACACTGCTGTAAAATACATACTCTCAACAAGTAGCTACAGTAAGAGCCTCTTCATGCTGGTTCTGGATAATTATGGGTTTTGTGTGTGTGTGTGTGTGTGTGTGTGTGTGTGTGTGTGTGTGTGTGTGTTTTCATATGTGTTTGGGGTTGAGGAGTGAGGAAAGGAAAAAAGTTGTAATTTTTACAGTGAATTCCAACTCCATAAACAGAACCAGGTGCCTTTTTCTCTCACACACAAACACTCAAGTGAAATGGGTTGAAATTCATACGAACAAAAGGAAACAAACACTTCACTGCTTATGTATTGTTCTGACTCTTACCCTGAATATTCATTCTGTACAACTGTAATCATATCTGGATGTTCAACAAATGACCAATTGTAGATATATCCATCCATTTTCTGATCTGCTTATCCTCACGAGGGTCGCGGACATGCTGGAGCCTATCTCAGCTGTCTTCGGGTAGTAGGCAGGGGACACCCTGAACTGGTTGCTAGCCAATCGCAGGGCACACACAGACAACAACCTTTCACTCTCACAAATCACACCTTGGGAAAATTGAGAGTGTTCCATCAACCTGTCATGCATGTTTTTGGAATGTAGAAGGAAACCGGAGTGCCTGCGGAGAAAACCCATGCAGGCACGGGGAGAACATGCAAAGCCCACATAGGAAGGCTGGAGCCGGTATCAAACCCTGCACCTCTGCACTGTGAGGTGAACGTGCTAACCAGTCGATCACAGTGCCGCCTTGTCTCATTTTGACCTCGGTTTTCGTACATAATACGTTCCAGAAGACTTCGAAAACCGAATTGTTCGAAAACCGAAACCATGTTTCCCATTGGAATCAATGTAAAAAAATGTAATCCGTTCCAAGTCAAGAAAACAACTTTTTTTTAAATAATTTTACACCATAAACTGTACACATGTAATAAGAGAGCAGGTAATATGTAAAATACTGTACAATCAAACTGTAATACGTTTTATTTTCACCAATTTTAACATTAACATTCCAGGAAGTAACTGTTAGAGTGAGCACACCGCATGTTTTACTGCTCTGCCACATTGTTATTAAAAGTCACATAAAACGTGAACCTTGCCTGCTGACCATCATTACATTTACCACTTCCACCTGCTTTCTTTGGTGCCATGATTAGGGGCTGATACACGATGCAAAAATAACAGTCCGATATTACGTAGTTCTCACCAAACACGTCTGCTTTTTTTTGAATGAACAATACAATCTCGTCTGCTCACAATGGGCGCTACACGAGGAAGCGTCTCACCAAACACGTCTGTTTTATTTTTTATTTTTATTGAACAATACAAACTCGTCTGCTCACAATGGACGCTACACGAGGAAGCTGTTTCTGTATGATTATTGCATAATAATGAGACACCGGACACCAGAGTGTTCATTATGTGCCGCTGTATTGAAAACTGCCGGCCGTACAACAAATGCACGCACTTCCCCCGTGCTGCTGGGGCAAACCATTCTGAAAAGAGGGGGGTTTCACTCCCCCTAACAGAAGTGTCTTGCCAAACACGTCTGCTTTTTTTTTTTATTAAACAATACAAACTCGTCTGCTCATAAAGAACGCTACACGAGGAAGCGTTTCACCAAACACATCTGTTTTTTTTAAAAATCTTGATTGAACAATACAAAAATGTCTGCTCACAATGGACGCTACACGAGGAAGCGAAGCCGAGAGTAGTGAAGTGACGCATTCAAGCTCAGTTAGTTTGAGAACAGAAATTTGTTCGGCATCCGAGGCATAAAAAAACTCCAAATTTTTGTTCGAAAACCGAATTGTACGAGAACTGAGACGTTCGAAAACCAAGGTTTGACTGTGTGTGTGTGTGTGTGTGTGTGTGTGTGTGTGTGTG